TAAAAAAAAAATAAAACACAATGAGATATCATTTACATCTCTCAGAATGGATACAATCAAAATCACAAGAAATAACAAATGTTGGAGAGGATGTGGACACTTTGTGTGTCAGTGGAGGAAATGCAAATTGGTGCAGCTACTGTGAAAAACATTGTGGAGGTTCCTCAAAAATGTAAAAATACAATTACCATATCATCCAGTAATTCTTCTACTTGGTATTTACCCAAAGAAAATGAAAAAACTTACTCAACAAGATATATGCACCCAACGTTTTTTGTAGCATTATTTACAATAGTAGCCTAGGTATAGAAAGAATCCAAGTGTCCAATCATTGATGAATGTTTAAAGAAGATGTAATATATGTACACACACACATATTACTCAGCCAGAAAACGAATGAAATCTTGCTATTTACATTAACATGTAAATTTTCTATTTCTTCCTGCTTCAGTTTTGTTAGGTTATATGCATCTAAGAAATTTATACATTTCTTCTAAGTAGCCCAATGTGTTGGGAAATAGTCTTTCATAATATTTTCTTATAATCCTTTGTATTTCTGTGGTATTGGTTGTTATTTCTTCATTGCTGATTTTGAGTCCTTTTTTTTTTTTTTTTTTTTTTTTTTTTTTTTTTTTTTGAGTCTGGCAAAAGGTCTACCTTTTTTGTTCATCTTTTCAAAGAACCACTTCCTGGTTTCATTAATTATTCTGCTTTGTTTTTAGTCTCTGTTTCATTTATTTCTACTCTAATCTTTATTATTTCCTTTCTTCTACTAGCTTTGTTCACTCTTCTTTTTCAAGCTCCATTCGTTGTAATATTAGGTTGTTTAGCTGAAGTTTTTCTTAAGACAGACCTGCATTGCTTAAGATAGACTGTAATCACTCCTTTTCGAACAGGTTTTGCTTTATCCCCCAAATTTTAGACCATTCTGTTTTCATTTTCATTTGTCTGCATGTATTTTTTATTCTGTTTGTCCGTTGACCCATTTCTTATTTGTTAGAATGTTATTTAGTTTCCATGTATTTGTGCCCTTTCCAGATTTTTTCTTGTGATTACTTTCTATTTTCATATCGTTTTGGTCAGAAAAGATGCATAACATTATTTCAGTCTTTTTGAATTTATTGAGACTTCTTTGGTGACCTAACATGTGATATCTTTTGGAGACATTCCAAGTGCACTTGAAAAGAATACGTATTCCACAGCTTTTGAATGGAATGTTCTGAATGTATCTGTTAGGCCCAATTGACCCAATGTGTCATTCAAGGCCACTGTTTCCTTGTTGATTTTCTGGCCAAATGATCTATCCATTGATATAAGCAGAGTGTTAAAGTCACCCACTATTATTGTATTCCTGTCAGTTTCTTCATTTATGTCCGTTAATAGTTGCTTTATGTATTTAGGTGGTAGCATGGTGGGTGCATAAATAGTTACAATTGTTATACCATCCTGTTGGACTGTTCCTTTTATCATTATGTAGTGTCCTTTATCTCTTATTATAGTCTTTGTTTTAAAGTCTATTTTGTCTGATAAAAGTATTGCTACCCTATCTTTCTTTTAGCTTCCATTTGTATTATAAATGTTTCTCCATCTCTGTACATTCAAGTTTTCACTGAAAAATCAGCAGATAGCATTATGAGGTTTCCCTTATTTATAACTGTTTTTTCTCTTGCTGCCTTTGAGATGTTTTGTTACTACTTTTTGCCATTTTAATATTATGTTTCTTGGTGTGAACCTCCTTAGGTGAATTTCACTGCGGGCTCTCTGTGATCCCTGAATCTGGATATGTTTACTTCCCCAGATTTGGAAAGTTTTTGGTTTTATTTCTTTCTTTGATTTTATTTCTTCAAATACATTCTCTGTGACGTTCCTCCTGGGATCCCTATAATGTGAACGTTATTACATGTGATGGTGTTACTGAATTCCCTTAACCTATTCTCATTTTTTATTATATTTTTTTCTCTTATTATTCAGCCCAGTTGCTTTCCTTTACCCAGTCTTCCAGGTCGCTGATCCACTCTTCTGCCTCCTCTGATCTTCTATTGATTCCCTCTATTGTATTTTTTATTTCAATTACGGACTTTTATATCTCTGACAGGTTCTTTTTTATATTTTATCTTCTTGAAGGTCTCACTGATATCCTCCACTCTTTTCTCAAATCCAGTGAGTATCTTTATGACCATTACTTTGAATTCTTAATTAGACATATTGCTTACTTCTATTTCAGTTAGATCTTTTGTTGTGGTTTTGTCTTGTTCTTTCATTTGGGATATATTTCTCTGTCTCATTTTGTCTAACAATCTATTGGTTTTCATGTACTAGAAAAGTCAGCTGCATCTCCTGATCTCGAAAGTCATGGCCTTATGAAGAAGAGGTCCTGTAATGCCCTATAGCACAATGCTCTCTCTTTACCAGAACCAGGTACTTCAGGGGTATCTCCTATGTGGGTTGCATGTGCCCCACTGTTGTTAAGCCACATTTGCCTTCAGTTCTTTAGGCTGCAATGGCTCACTTTGCCTGTTGTGGTTTCAGCAGGTAGGGTTTTGCTACCTGTTAAGAAGCCAATCTGTGGATGCATCAGGCTTCTATTTGGGTAGTGTCACCAATCAGACCAGATGTCTGCCCTCAGCCCATCTGCTGGGGCTGGTTGCACTGACCTTAGGGGCAGTTTTCATTAGTGGTTGGGGCTAGCAGTCAAGCCAGATGGCTGTCCCCAGTCTGTCATCTGGAAATGCAGTCACACTGACCTGCAGGACACTCTCCCTGCTTTGTCCCCTGAGAGGCTTTCATTTGTGGGCAGGACCATCAGTCAGCACAGATGCCTGCACCTCATCTATCTGCCAGGACCGCAGTCACACTGATTGGCAAGACACTGTCTCTGTGCTGCTAGCTATAAATTTCAGCTGCTGGGGCTGTGGACTTGCTAGTGTGGATGGTTATCTTCCCCACTGCTCAGGGCAGGAGTCACTGTAAAATGGTGCCAGTCCCAGCCAGGGTTGCTTGCAGGGCGTGTTGGGGCAGGAGGTGCTTTGGAGACACGCCTACCAAATGGGGCTGATCCCCAGGAGAACGCAGGGCAGGGTGCTTAGTACTAGCAGGATAAGTAGAAAGTGTTTGTGCTGGTTCTGCAAGTGTCCTGCTTTCTAGGCTACACAGGGGGAAAGAAATGGCACCTGACACCTCTTTTGTTCTCAGAAGAAGTCTCCTAAAGATCCTCAAGATCCTTGTCCCTCCAGCACTTGTTCTTACAAGATTTATTTACTAATGTAAATAAATTTACATTACATTACATTAGTAAATAATGTAATTTACATTACATTACATTAGTAAATAAATCTTTTTTATGAATACCCCACATGCTTTTCAAACTGTGTGACCACATTACTTCTTATGCTGGCTCTTTAAAGGCAGGTGTTCGGTTTCCTATCACCCTCCAGCTCTGCCAGAGCTAAACCTGCTAATTTTTAAAGGAAGAATTAAGCCTTGCTGATTGTAAAAACTCCAGAATTCAAGCCCCACTAGCTTTCAAAGTTTAATGTTATAGATAGCCATCTTCCCAGTGTGGGTCCCCTGTGCCTGGAGTGCCATGTGGAGCCTGATCCTCTCACTCCTCTGTGCTGGTGGTGTGCATCCCCTTTGTGGTTAGTCTCCCAGGGGATCTGGCTCCCAACCATGTCTCTGCCCTTCCTACTCTTTGATGTGGCCTCCTCTCTACAGTTAACTGTGTAAAGTCTGTTCTGTCAGTCTTTTGGTCATTTTCAGAGTTAGTTACACTAATGTGGCTGTTATCTTGGGTGTTTGTGGGACAAAGTTACCTCAGGATCCTTCTGCTCTACCATCTTCCTGAATCATTTCTTTAGTCTTTCTTACTCTAAGTTATATTCATAACTACTTTCTAATCTTCTCTGATAGCTACATTTTTTAACAGTCCAGACAAGTTGACTTATAAGTAGCCACAATTTGGCTTTGTCTGATTGTTTATTCATAGGTAGATCTATTTAATCATTTTGGTAAGAAGTCAACATGGGCAATGTGCACTTAGCACTGTGTCACAGTGAAGCAACTCCTGTCCTTACTAGCCTGACCACTTAGTTAAGGTATTGCTGGCATTCTCTGTACTCACAGGACCAGTATTAGCTTGACATTCAAGGAAACTGTACTGTGCTCACATAGAATGTTAGGAAATGCTTGTAGCGACATTAGCAAACAAATGTGCTAAAGGCCATTACTTCATATTATCTCAGTATTTGATTTTCTAAGTGCAACACATCAATAATTTTCAACAGAGGACTCATGTTCATGTGAAAGACACAATTTTCAAATCAGAAGTACATGCATATGTTTCGCCTTCAGAAAATTAATATTCAGAAACCGAATCTTAACAATGGTTAAAATGTTAATCTCTGATGGTAGTCAGGACACACACACTGAATGTTTTCCATATGTTACAAAATAAGAAGATATTTTGTATTGTAAAGGGATTTTTTTAACTTTATAAAATAATTATTTGATTTACAACCAGATTTAACAAGTGATAAATATCTCCATGAATTGCATTGGGAAAAAATACTAAACTAGAGTGGGGTGGGGTGCAGTGGGGGGTGTCCTGGCCCTGGCTCTATCATTAACAAGTTGTGTATTTTTTGAAAAATCTGCTAACTACCTGGGTCCCAGTTTTATCATCTGCAAAATTCAATCAACAATTAATCCTGATTGAAAGCAAATAACTCAAAGAGAATGAGCAGATAATTCTGCCAAAAAGTAATGATGATTTAAAAACCTACAGTTGAAAAAAATTTTGGTCACAAGGTCATTAAACTGTTAGAACTAGTCTGGTGTAAATCCTTAGGAAAACTTAAAATTTGTTTAGAGGCCTTGAGCAGTCACAGATCACACACAATGAGTCATCAGCAGAGCCAAAAGATAGATGCTCAGTTCAACGTGGGCCAACAAAACCCTATTATCCAGACTTACAGTTACTAGAAGAGCACACACCAGCTTACCTGTATGCAAGAGCCAAAGCCCAGGCCCCAGCAGCACAGTAAAGACTGTCATGGATTTTTGCCTTCTGATCATCACCACAAGTTTTAGTGGGAAAGAGACCTGTGGTTGGACTTTGATATAGCAGCAACGTTGACTTCACTGGAATGGAAGACAAGAAAAAGAATGAACTGTACAGCCATCCATTTCCCTTGGGCTGAAGATCTCAATCTTCTTTCGTTTCCTCATCCTACTGCTGATAATTCTGTTGTTCCTAAACCTACCAATAGTATACAACTTTTTAGAATGCAGAAATTACTTCATGTAAGTCACTCCAGCACAAGTGGGAATCCACTCTGCAGGAAGGATATTTCTACTTTTGAGGATAGGACTCAGCTAATTAACAATTAAAAAGCTTTTAGCATATCATACTCAATGTTAGTAAGTGTTGTAACATCAGATACAGAAAAAAAAAGATCAATATCTTTTTATTATTGTTTTCAACAGAAGTCCAATAGGGAAACAAAACAAATGTACAACATAGAGTGGCATTAATGGCTAAATCCAAAGCCAGTTCCACTGCTAAATAAACCAGAATCCTATTTTCCATGATGACTAATTTGTGCCTAGACTTCTGCGGAATATATTCATTTTACATATTATACTATACAGGCTAGAGATATGTTTATCATTTCAAAACCAAATCCCATTCTCATATGACATGAAAACAAGTAAATAATTATTTTGAGAACATTTTACTTTAAAAAAAAGTCTGAAATTAATGTTTTATTACCTTTTATAAGAATCCTAAAATATAAAAATACACACACTAAAACTATATTTCCTAAAAGTGATTTTATTCCTAAATATAAATGATTTTCACCAAAATGCATTAAATTACTCTAATCTAGATTGACGTATGTCAACTACTTTTAGGACAGTTTTTCAAAGGTCTAAAGCATTCTTCTCCTTCACAGAGATTAAAGAATTTACTTTCTTCTTTTTCTCAGACAAACCTGACATTATCATTACCATTTCTTTTAGAATGTCAGGGTATTTATCATTTTTCCCAAAGGAAAGAATTGGTCCTTAAAGTCTCAAGTAAACAACTGACATTTCTTTAAAAAGGTATTTACATTTCTTCATCTAGTTATGGCTACAATGATAATAAAAGGGCCACATAAGAACATATTCTAGAATTTTGACTAAAATAAGATGAATTAAGGTTTTATATGAGGTTAACACAAACAGCAACAACAAAAAAAAAATCCTTATCTTAGGGAAATAAATAAACTAAATTTTATATTATTTGCCATACAAGGCCACATAAATGGCACAAGAAGCAAACTGGCAAAAATTAATAGGCTTTTCTAACTTACAGTCTGATGAACCAAGAGGAGTCCCATGCATACATATCTCAAAATTGCTTACTCACATTAAAAAGCAAAATTTGCCAGGCTGTTCTTGGCAAAACAAAACAACAACAAATATAACAGGTACTTAATATTAGTAATAGTAACCTGAGATTATCTTTTGTATCCCAAAGAATTAGTAATAGATACAAAAGGTTTAGGACTTCTTAGAAACCATGTATGGGTAAATGAGTAAGCAAGGAATACTTTTACAGAATTTTTATGTAGGTAGTAATGAAGAAACAGCCTCCAGTTCTCAAATCTAGTAATGTTTAAGAGAGTAAAAAGACACAGAGGACACTGGTGACAGTTTTAAAATTACTCAAGGGACAGATATGATGTGCTGAAAATCTTTTATAGTCCCAGGGTCAAGATCCAATTGGAATATATAGCTGCCTAAGCAATGAAACTATCCCCACATCCAAATGAGAGATCATCATCATGCACGTAACATATGCAATATAAGGTAGAGTAAATACTAATCATAACTACCTAAGGACATGTTTTCCTCAAGTATTCCTTACCAATTCTGTAATAATGATCCAATTTATCCCACAGAGTTTCATTATCAGGTCTCGGAAGATTAATGCTTTTCAGAGGTTCATAAACTGAGCCTAAAAGAAAAATGAAAACCCACCAAATTCAGTCATTTTCACCAAGATAAACAAAACTTCTAAATAAATGAAAAAGCACTACTTAGCAATCTAATTTTCATTTTTATATGTGAACTAACACATTATATTACCGGTCAAATGTTTGGTAGGGGGAGAGAGAAGAAATTGCGCTTGAAACAAGTACAGAAGGGTTCCAAATGTTATGGGAACACCGCCAACCCCCCAACACCTGGCAGTTACTATAGCTAATTCATATATATACTGTTCCCAACAACCCGAATACCACTAATACTTATGTGATAGTCCCTAGGTCAATAATTTCAGTTCCCTTTGAGAAATATCTACTTAAATGCCCTAAAATCCAAACCTTATTCTTCATGCTCATGATCAAGCAATTTTCTGCCAAATTGATCATACCCCAAAAATCTCAAGAAAAAGGATAATACTGACATGCTCCAAAGTCATCCACTCCATGAATATTCAGAGAGTTTTCATACTAAAATTCTGAAGACTCTACTTACTCCTCGTTAGATAAAACTCATGCCATATTATCTGTACTAAAGCAGAAACCATTTCTACTTCTCATCCATGAAAACTACTCCAAGGTATTAACAGAGCATACTGCTCAGAAGCTGCAGAATACCCAATAATTATGATAATTTGCCACAAAATAGATACAGCAAATTGTTCACTTGACTAGTACACATTCTCAACTGCTCACTGAAAGGAAGACCTCTGAACCTTCAGCCATCAGACTAAGTACTATCTCTCATTCTTTGTTAAAAGCACTCAAATTATAAACATCTCAAGGTCACAACGAATCCACAAATGGATTCAGGTAAGGAACATCATATAATCCAACCACACAGCACAAGAGTGGCCCTAAAATTTACCTGGGGGTGGGGGATGTGTTGGCATGCATTAAGAATCTTTTTTTTAGGGGCGCCTGGGTGGCGCAGTCGGCTAAGCGTCCGACTTCAGCCAGGTCACGATCTCGCGGTCCGTGAGTTCGAGCCCCGCGTCAGGCTCTGGGCTGATGGCTCAGAGCCTGGAGCCTGTTTCCGATTCTGTGTCTCCCTCTCTCTCTGCCCCTCCCCCGTTCATGCTCTGTCTCTCTCTGTCCCAAAAATAAATAAACGTTGAAAAAAAAAAATTTAAAAAAAAAAAAAAAAAAAAAAGAATCTTTTTTTTAAAGAAAATTAAAATTGCAATGTCCAGTATGGTAGTATAAAGCCAAGGTATTTGGAATCCCTTTATGTTTAGGAAGATAATAAACAAGGAAGTAATGAAAGGATCTATATATTAAGGCAATAATCTCATTAACTTATGTTGGAAAGAACGATGATTTGTGCATAAAATCAGCAATATAAAATGACTTCCTCTGAGTGAAGAGATTTTCTAAAAAAGAATCTTCACAATGACACCAACCAGAATTGCCCCATAGGTAAGAATGGGAAGGCCTATAAACACAGACAAGAAAGCTTCAGGACTCCTGCACAAGAGGTCAGGGCTTGGCCATGCCCTCTGCCTCCCTGCATTCAATAGCTCTGGGTAGGTGTTAAGTATACAGGCAGCCTGGCAGCTGGGAAAAAAATAATATGGCTACTGCTTACACATTAGGTGCTAAGCTCTAGGAGTTTACACACTCTCAGTGAAGTTCATACAACAATTAATAAAATAAAATCAGGTACAAATCATCACAAGTTGTAAATTGGGGTACATACATAAAAAGATTAAAGAAGACACATTTGCTGGGTGGAAGGATTGCGGATGAATGAGATTTCCATTTTTTTTTTTAGAGCTCTATTATTAGAAGAGCTAATATTTTGCTTTATATAAGAAAAATAACATCACCAGAAGTTACATATACTTTCATTACATAGATAAACAATACATGTGCATGTGAATAAAAATTTAAATAGAATATGCAAAATTGAAATCCACCTTTGTATCTACCATAATACTTGTGAGTTTATTTTGAAAGATTGTTTTAATGACATTGTATCTTGGATTTTAGGGTAAAAAATACTTATTTTTAAAAGTGCTATTACATTTAAGGTGCCCCTCAAATCTTAAAAAAGACTAAAATGATTCTATCATCTAATGTTTCTCAATAAAATCACCGAAGGGAGCTTCTTAAAAACAACAAAAATAAACAAAAGGAAAACCAGACTTTTCAGGAAAATAAATACCAATGCAGTAAGAGCTAAAAGAGAAGATGTTTAAAGTATAGCAGAAAAATATAAAAGTAAAATCACAAAGAATCAATATTTTCTTATACGTTCTTATATCTTCAAGAAAGCCCATGGTGACTTAAGAACAGCTTACCTAAATAAATGTTAACATTTTAATAATCACCATTGTATTGCTTCTGAAGTAAATGCATAAAATTAAACAAGGATGCTCCACACAATTTATGGCAAACAGTACCATAAATCTCAAGTCAAAGGAAAAGTAATCAATGGTAACATTTTAAACAAGAATTAGCCTGAAAAGGTTCAATGCAAATAAAAATGTGGAGAAAGCAATCAATAGAGCATGAATTCCCAAAGACAATGAGAAAGATGCAAAATAACAGAAAACACTATTAAATGTTTAGAGTTCAAAACGAAATGAAGCGTTTCAATGTAAATTTTTCCTTTTCATGTTTTTCCCATTTGTATTATGCCTATATTTAAACATCACAAAGTAAAATAAAAATTATCATTTCTCCAATTTGTAAAATGAGTTTAAACATATCAATCTGATTTTTTAGCTGTCAATTCTCTTGGTATTAGAAAAATACAATCTAGTCTCATTTCAGAGCACATTACTACCAAAGATATTCACTGACAAAGAACAATAATACAAGAGGCAGAGTAATATTCCAGTTTTATCACATAAGAGGAAGGGTTATTTTATTTAAGAGATTAAACAAGGAATTTCCTAAGAAATTTCCATGAGACAAAAACAATACCAAGAATGCGCATAACCTTAACAAAGCTACAAACTTTCTGAATTGGGCACTATAAAACACCAACAAGGTTTCTAAGTGTTATGGGGGAGGCTCTTAAGCAATCACAAGACAGAACTGGTAATTCAAGTAGCAAACACTAAAAGAATAAAAATGAGGACTCAAAAGGGAAGTCAAGGTGGAAAGCGGATAAGCAAACCAAAACAATTTCAATACTCTATTATTTGGGCATACAATCTTTCATTATATGATTGAAAGCCCTTTAATACTGTACATACAAAAATGTTATTAATCAAGGCTTTGGTGAACCCTTAACTAACTTTATCATTTTTCCATGTATGGTGATAGATGAAGATAAATACCATTATTTGTTCTCAATTAATATATGCATTGTATGCATAAAACTCTGGACCATATATCCAGTAGGCCACCAGGACCCACAGATTAGTAGGAAAGGTAAGATAAAGTTTTGAAGAAGAGTAATATGAGTTAGAGTGTGGGTTCCTTAAAAAACAAAGGATAGGAAAATTCAGCGTCCCTGTGGGGCTGAGGGAACAGGAAACTTCTACCTTGCAATCTTTGAAAATAAAAGCAATTTCAAACAATGCACTGCCATCTGAAAATGAAGAAAACAACTAAACATGAAGTCATAAACATATATACAAACTTGCAGATATACTATCACAGCTCTAAAGCTGATGCAAGGTCTTATGAAATAAGATACTACATACCAAGGGGTTTGTTTGTTTTAAGTGATACACATGAAAAGATATATAACTAACTAACAGGGTAAATTTTATTGAACACTGATCCAAGTATGATCTTTCACGAGAGAGAATTTTATTATAAACCTAAATCTTTAGAAAGCCTACAGGATTCTGATTTTCTCCCTCAATTAAAATAATTTCTTTTCAGATTAAAAAAATATCTAACATTCCTCACCCTAAAACAAGCATCATTAACATTTCGGTACATTCCTTTCAGGCATTTCTTTAAGCAATATATATAAACATACACAAAATTAACACATGGACTCGTAACATACATGCTCTTTTTATCATGGACACTAACCCTTTGCTCCCTTACCACACCTCTTGCCCTCTTCTGTCCTCATTCCCATGTAAACATACTTTTTCCATATTTATCTAAAAATATATATATGCATCAATGAAGGAAGTCTTTTGTCGCTTGTTTTATAAAAATGGGGTCATGAAATAGACCCTTCCTTGCTTCCTGCTCCTCCCATTTGACAACACACATGGAAATCAAAAAAGGCAATGATTGTTTCTTTGACTGCTATATATTCCAGGGTATTGACACAGTATAATTTACTCAGTTATTCCCCTATCAAGAAGTATATACTTTTCTATTTTTGCCATCATAAACAATCCTGCAAAACATCCTTATGTGTACACAGATACAGCCAGTAGTATGCTAGAACCAATTAATACTGGCTGAAAAGAGTTAACTGTTAAATTTTCAGGAATTTTGGGAGCTGGTTATGAAACACATAAATGAAAATTAAATTATAAAAGCTTATAGATGAATAATTATTAAAAACAAAGGTAATAAGTATTCAAAATATATCACTTCCTAGTTTTACATTTTACTATTATATATGCTCTTGAATTGACTGATACCTATAGATCTATACCTTGGAAATACCATATAATAGCATGTTACAACACATGTCTTTCCAACTCCGCATTCAGTGAAGTCATGTAGATTTGAGTAGTTGTGACAAAAAACAAATGGTCTGAGAAGGCCTAAAATTTTTACCATCTTACCCTTTATAAAAGAAGTTTACTCAACTCTAAATTCCTAGAAGTACTAAATTAAGCAATAAGTGTACTTTTTACAAAATAATGGCAAATTGCATTTTTTTAAAGGCTACAACAATTCACATGTCTACTAGATATAAGCGCTCCTTACTTTTAAAAGTTTTTCCAATCTGATAATAACAAAGTAGTTATCTCACTTTTGTTTTTCATTTCTCATACAATTAGTGAGTTTGAAAAATCTTTACAGATTGGCCATTTGGATTTGC